TATATATATGTATATATATATATATATATATATATATATATAACATGTTAGTTGCTAGTCTTAATGTACGCGCGTGTACCTCGTCTCAATGCATAATTATTTTTAAGATTCTCATAAATATAATACTAAAAATTATATTCAAATAATAAAATATAAATGTAAGCTCCTAAAACTGATGAACGTTGATCCTTAATAGCTATCTCAATAAAGGAAGAAATTCTATCCCATAGAATTCCTCAATCACCATTCAATATAGTCACCTTAAAATTTATTCCAATTTTTTATTTTTAACAGTTTAATTTCACAAGTTGTCAATGTTGCCTTTTTACTTTCAGCAAGAACACAAAGCTCTTGAATATTTAAGTCTTTTTCTAAAAATATTTTTGAAAAATGGTTCTCAAGTTCATTAGAGAAGACACAAACATGATCGGCTATATTTTTATTACGATTCTTTAAAGAGTTGTCAGATAATACAAAATAAAAAATTAAATCTTTTAATCGTTCTAAAATTTGTGAATGAAAATCATTTGTTGGAATAAATGTGAAAATCAAATAATTATAACTTATTTAGAATGTGTTTTCTCTTATATTATTTCATCCTTGTTGCTTCAAATTAGCATTATTAATAACACGAGTTTTAGTACTATAAAGAGTTTTATCAACTTGAAATAAATTAATTCTATTTATATGATTAATTTAAATTGGATTCTTCGTCTAAGAAATTAATTTAAAAACTTAATACTATTTTGTTATTAAAGGAAATATTATTTTATTGTTATTAAAGGAAATAATATATTTTTTGTTACTCAATCTTAATATTTAGCTCGTCCTTTAAATATTTAATTGTAGTCATAATTTTATTTACTAATAGTTATATTTTGAAAGGGTAAAACAATCTTTCTCACATTTTATTGTTGGACCTTTGTGTTTAGAGAATTATTTGTGTTATTGGCTTTTACAAACCATGTCTTCTCTCTCTCTTATACATTCTTAAATATTTTATTGTTTACTTGTTTTAATTATTGTGTGTAGTTTTCAAATATCATAAAATACAGATGAATTGAAAAATATTAATTTGGTACAAGATTAAAAATCATAAATGGAAAAACAACACGTTCGGTTTATATTATACTTTTTCTTCCAATATTTTGATAAATAATTTTTGAATGCGTACTAAATTAATCAGCGTGTTTTACCAAAATAAAACTTGTTTAATCTAAAATTGTTATGTTATTAAAATTAAAGAAGGCAACCTAAAACTCAGATTACAACGCAAATTAAACCTAACTATAGACGGAAGAAAGTTAAGCTAAACAAATTACAACGCAAATTAATTGTGAAGTAAAAAATAAGTTTAAGCAAAATATTTCTAAATATTAGGAGTTCTAATATAATTTAAATAAGGACAGATTTAATAATTTAAATTTTAGTTGATTTTAAAGTACTAAATATTAGAAAAATAAAGAAAGATATAAAATATAATCAAATAACTATTCTATCCAGTGTGAACTCTATTTTAAAGGGGTAAAAAAAGACGAACGACATTTCGCTAAGCGTATTCTACTTTTAATATAGTACTAGTCTTAGGATACGTGCATTGTTGTAACGACCCGGCCGGTCGTTTTGAGAATTTAAGTCCCGTTCGGCGGCATAAGGTCTTGAGCAGCTTTGTATTATGTGTATTGACTTGCGTGCGTGATTGAGTCCAGTTACCGGATGATTCGGAATTATATCGGAAGAAGAATTCTAGTTTTGGAAGCTTAAGCGGTGAGAGTTGATCGGAATTAGACTTTTATGCAAATGACTCCGGAATGGGTTTTAGATGATTTCAACAGCTTCATATGGTGATTTTGGACTTAGGCGTGCGTCCGGATTTGGATTTGGAGGTCTGTAGGGTGATTTGAAGCATTTCGGCGAAAGTTGGAAAAGTTGAAGTTTGGAAGGTAGGAAGGTTTGACCAATAGTTGACTTTGGTGATATCGGGGTCGGAATGCGATTCCAAGAGTTGGAACAACTTCGTTATGTCATTTATGACTTGCCTGCAAAATTTGACGTCATTCCGGATTGATTTGATAGGTTTCGGCGCGAGTTTTAGAGTTGGAAGATTAGAAAGTTCATAAGTTCGATTCATGATGCGGTTCATAGTTTCGACATTGTTTGATGTGATTTGAGACCTCGAGCGAGTCCATGTTAGATTATGGAACTTGTTGGTATGTTTAGACGGGGTCCCGGGGGCCTCGGGTGTGTTTCGGATGGGTTACGGGCCATTTTCTTCTATTTTTGAACTGCTGAATCTGTCATCTGGTTTTCTCTTTCGCGTTCACGTCTGTTCCTCCGCATTCGCGAAGAGTAATTTTGGAGGAAGGAATATTTGTTCTTCGCATTCGCATGCCTCATTTCGCGATCGCGGAAGCCAGCCCTTCCCTTCTTCGCGTTCGCGTAGTTATGCCATTCCACTCTTCGCGTTCGCGCACTACTTCACGCGTTCGCGAAGAGCAGTCGTTGGACATCAGACATTTCTTCTCCGCGTTCGCGAGCGTGTTGTCGCGTTCGCGAAGCACAAACTGGACAGCACTCATTTTTCTTCTTCGCGAACGCGATTGTTCTTCCGCGTTCGCGA